ATTTTACATTTATTTTTTATTTGGGTTTTCTTTCCCAGTACTTTTTGCTTCTGCCAGCGCCAGAGCCCATGGGCTTATGGAAAGCTTTTTACCCAGTCATGGTATGACACTGCCTCTTATTAAGGAATTCACTTCACAGAAAAAGTGGGAATGGCCTAATGCCCACAGGATTCACTGTCTGCCTAATGGATCCTGCCCATGACTCAGGCATAGCTGGCCTTAAACAACAGTAGGATGGCTCACAGGATCCACTGGCAGATAATTGCTTGTCTATCTGTGGAAGTTATCCATGCTCTGAGTCAGTATCCCATATGTGATGCTGTTTCCCTGTGTCTCTCTCTTTCCAGGACACAGAGGTGGGCGGGTACTGTTAATAGTCTCCCAGTAGCCTTTCCTATCTAATGTAGTAGAATTAATACCTGGCTGCATGATGACCCAGAGTTAAGATATCTGCCAGCCTTTTTGATCACTTTCCCTCCCCACTTTCCAGCTCTCAGCTGAATTGACTGGAAGTCTGACACCCATTGAAGTTACTGGGCTTGGGTTTTGGGTCTCCTCCTCCTCCTCCTCCCTCTTTAAAATAGGGTCCTAAATACATCAAAATAAAAATCTTCTGCATAGTGAAGGAAACAGTCAACAAAACTAAAAGAATGGGAGGAGATATTTACAAATGACATATCCAATAAAGGATTAGTAGCCATAATATATAAAGAATTTATCCAACTCAGTATCAAAAAACCCAAATAATCCAATTAACAAATGGGCAGAAGACACGAACAGACACTTCTCCAAAGAAGACATACAGATGGCCAACAGATACATGAAAAAATGCTCAATAGCACTGATCATCAGGGAAATGCAAATTAAAACTACAATGAGATAACACCTCACACCTGTCAGAATGGCTAAAATAAAAAACACAAGAAACAACAAGTGTTGGTGAGGATGTAGAGAAAAAGGGACCCTCTTGCACTGTTGGTGGGAGTGCAAACTGGTGCAGCCACTCTGGAAAACAGTATGGAGGGTCCTCAAAAAATTAAAAATAGAACTATCCTACAATCCAGCAATTGCAGTATGGGTTATTTACCCAAAGAATACAAAAGCACTAATTCGAAAGGATATATGCACCTCTATGTTTACTGCAGCATTATTTATAATAGCCAAACTATAGAAGCAGCCCAAGTGTCCATCAACAGATGAATGGATAAAGAAGATGTGGTATATATATGTATATATATATGTATGTATATATGTATATATATGTATACATGTATACATGTAAATATATACAATGGAATATTATTTGGCCGTAAAAAAGAATGAAGTCTTGCCATTTGCAACAATATGGATGGAACTAGAGAGTATAATGCTAAGTGAAATAAGTCAGTCAGAGAAAGACAAATACCATGATTTCACTCATGTGTGGAATTTAAGAAACTAAACAAAGAAAGGGGAAAGAAGAGAGAGAGAGACAAACCGAGAAATAGACACTTAGCTATAGAGAACAAACTGATGGTTGCCAGAGGGAAGGTGGATGGGGGATGGGCAAAATATGGGAAGGGCATGAAGAGGACACTTCTCATGATGAGCCCTGACTCATGTATAGAATTGTTGAATCACTACACTGGACACCTGAAATTAATATAACACTGTATGTTAACTACATTGGAATTAAAATAAAAAAAACTTAATAAAAATTTGAAAAATAATAAAAATAAAATAAAATAAACAAACAAAAAAGAAATAGTGTCCCAGGTAAACTACAGTTTCAAAGAGCTTTTCTTATTAGCGTTCTCAGTTGAGGTATTTGTTTCTGGGCTGGCTTAGATCTCGGCTACCTTCACCTAGTTACTGTTTGAAGTGTAGGAGTCTTTGGTAGATAATGTCAGCCTAAGACTCTCACAAATTATCTTGAGGATAGAAAAAAAGGGAAAAAAAATACCAAAAGCCTCCTGCTCTCCTCCCAATGACGTTTTCCATGGAAGGAATGTTATTATGCTGCTGATCATATTCTTTTCCCTTTATAGGGTCCCGCAGCTTTGCAGAATACTGTCATATTCTCACTTGCTCTTCCAAAACCTATGACCTAAAGGAAAGAGGGCAGGCCTGAAGGTCTGGGAGAGCTGGATAGAATCCCTGCTTTGCTGCTCAGTGGCTCTGAACTGCCAATTAATCATGTGTTAAAGGAGGGGTACAACAACATTTACCCCTTGCTTTTAACGTTGGGATTGTGATTACAAATGGTAAGTGCTCACGAAATCTGGTGAGTGATGCTGTGAAGTTTGCAGGGGAGGAATTATGAGCCCTGATTTACAAGTGAGGAAAATGAAATACACCAATGAGGCAAGAGTTGTCCAAGGTACAGAGATGGAGTAGGATCTTCAAAATCCAAATCCAGATCCAAATCCATTGTTTTTTCTTTTTTTAAAAAAGATTTTATTTATTTATTTGAGAGAGAGAATGAGAGACAGAGAGCATGAGAGGGAAGAGGGTCAGAGGGAGAAGCAGACCCCCCGCTGAGCAGGGAGCCCGATGCGGGACTTGATCCCCGGACTCCAGGATCATGACCTGAGCCAAAGGCAGTCGCTTAACCGACTGAGCCACCCAGGCGCCCCTCCATTGTTTTTTCTATCACCTCAATCTACTGAATAACAGAATTTTCTCAGCTTTTAATAATAATAACAGCATTGTTGGTGAAGCTAGCTTTCATTTATTTAACTTTTAAGATGTGTCAGACACTAGACTAAGCAGTTTATATGAATGAACCCATTTTACAGATGGAGGAGTCTGGGATTCAACAAGGTGAAGGAACTTGCCCAAAGACAAACACAAGGGCAGAATCTGCCTGGGTCTTAAAAGAAAACTTGGTTCTTTCTGACTCCAAAACCTATTCTCTTATCCCCCAAATTATAACTTCCTCAATAAATAAAATACCCTCGGAATGTGTTGCTAAGTGTCTAAGTTCAAAGGTATAATGCAAATGTTTTCATCTTATTAGGAAAGCTCTGTGTGCAGTCAGCTAAAGATTTATCTGGCTTTGGGATCATCTACATGTCCTGATAAGGTCTTTTCTGCATTATAGGAATCGCTGGCCTATCAGGTTAATACTGTCCTAGGAATTTGGAATTGAAAGTCCTCAGCTTGATTAGGATCTCACATAAACTGTAAGGTGGCAAGCCACTTCATCTCTCTGGGCCTCCTTTTTCTCCTATTTAAAATAAGGGTAAAATCAAACCTAGAATATCTTCTTGTGACAGAAAGCAAAGAAGTGCTAAAAGTTACTGGAGACCCATCACAGCACACAGGAACTGGCTCAAAGCAGTTCCCACTGGTCAGATCTGGGACAATTTGAACATCAAAATGAAAAATGGTGATAAAGGATTGCTACACATTAAATAAAAAAGTAATCCATGAGTGTATAACGACACTCTAATAAAAAAAAAAAGGAAAAACAAAAGAAGCTCTCTCCATGTGAATGGAGAGAGTTCTACTATATCGAAGACTGTCAGCTAATAAGTGTAAAAGAAATTAGAAAATCATCATTTTGCAATCACCATAGCAATAATTGATTCAGGTAAGATCATTCATGGATGTGAAAACCATTGGTGAAAAATTGTTGGGGAACAGAATAGTCACATAGTCTTAAAGTATCTCCCCAGAAATCACTTATTAATTACAAAAAGAAAATGTACCTTTACAATGAAGACCATCTGGTGGACACCACCGTAACCAAGTTGTGTAAGAAAAACTCAGCTCAGTCCCGTGTGTCCCCTTTATGACTCACACAGAACACTTCACTTCTTACATTTCTGGTCACCAAATGGGGGGGGGTTGGTTCACACCAGAAATTCTCTGTACCACCAGTTGGATATCCTAAAATTTAACTCAATTCTAACATTATCTTCCTGGAGATAGCATCAGATCCCATAGGTTAAGGGCTCAGTCCACAAGACTGTTCCCACCCTACTTCAGATGCCAATCGCAAGTAGTTGGTCCCTAGGCTACCCACCATTTCTGTGCAATTTGGCTACAAATTGGAGGTCCCCATGGCCCCATCCTCAGGTTCAAATAATTTGCTAGAGTTCTCAAAGAAATCAAGGAAACATTGACACTGACCAGTTTATGAAAGGCTATGATAAAGGATACAGATAAACAGCCAGATGGAGATACATAGGGTGAACTCTGGGAGGGTCCTGAGCACAGGAGCTTCTGTTGCTGTGGAGTTGGGGTACGTCATCCTCCATGTGTGGATGTGTTTGCCAACCTGGAAGCACACAGAACCCCATACTTTGGGGATTTTTATGGAGGCTTCATTACACAGGCATGATTGAACATTAATTTCATCTTCAACCCCTCTCTCTTCTGGAGAGGATGAGAGGCAGGGCTGAAAGCTCCACACTTCTAGTCAAGGCTTTGTCTTTCAGGTAACCAGCCCTCACCCAAGAGCCAACCAGGAGCCCACCCAAAGTTGCATCATTAGAACAAAAGACACTCCTATCACCCCAGGAAATCATAAGAGTTTCAGAAGCTCTGTGTCAGGACCCGGGGTGAAAGACAAGATATTCGAACAAAAAATGATGCTAGTGGTCCTATCACTTAGGAAATTACAAAGGGTTCAGGTGCTCTGTGCCAGGAATGAAGGGCAGAGACCTATTATCTCACATGAGTGACCAAATTTAGCATCACCTACAACGGCACACACTGACAACATGTACCTTCTGATGGGATGCGCTAGAAAAAACATGGCATCATCTGAATAGCATTTTTGCCCAGAGATGTATAACCTGATCAAATAACAAGGAGACACTAGAGAAGCCCAAATTGTGGGATGTTTTATAAAACAACTGTCCTAGACTCCAAAAATGCCAATGACATGAAAGACCAAAAAAAAAAAAAAAAAAAAGTGGGAAAAATTGTTCCAGGTTAATGGAAACTAAAGAGACATGACAATTTTACTTTTATTTTTTTTAAAGATTTTATTTATTTATTTGACAGAGAGACACACAGAGAGAGGGGGAACACAAGCAGGGGGAGTGGGAGAGGGAGAAGCAGGCTTCCCGCAGGGCAGGGAGCCCGATGAGGGGCTCGATCCCAGGACCCTGGGATCATGACCTGAGCCGAAGGCAAACGCTTATGGAATGAGCCACCCAGGTGCCCCAAGACATGACAATTTTAAATGTTTTCTATGCTTCGGAAGAAAACTAAGAAGCTATAAAGGACATAATCAGGCCAACTGGAGAAATTCGAACATGGACCATTCTTAGGTATTAGTTTATCAAATTTGTATTTATTGAGTGTGATGATGACATCACAATTATGTAGAGAAGTGTTTTTATTTTTAGGAGACACATGCTAAAGATTTCAGGCGTGAAGAGTTATCATATCAGCAACTTTTATTTTATTTATTTATTTTTATTTATTTATTTATTTTTAAAGATTTTATTTATTTATTTGAGAGAGAGAGACTGAGAGAGAGAGCACATGAGAGGGGGGAGGGTTGGGAGGGTCAGAGGGAGAAGCAGACTCCCTGCCGAGCAGGGAGCCCGATGCGGGACTCGATCCAGGGACTCCAGGATCATGACCTGAGCCGAAGGCAGTCGCTTAACCAACTGAGCCACCCAGGCGCCCGTATCAGCAACTTTTAAATGGTTCAGAGGATAAATGTGTATGTGTGTGTACGTGCATACATGCACACAGAGCTACAACAACTATGGCAAAATTAGTGGACCTATATGAGAGGTGTGTGGTGTTTATTGTACAGTTCTTCCAACTTTTCTGTTTATCTGAATTTCTTTTTATTTTATTTTATTTTATTATGTTAGTCACCATACAATGTATCATTAGTTTTTGATATAGTGATCCACGATTCATTGTTTTTGTATAACACCCAGTGCTCCATCCAGTATGTGCCCTCCTTAATACCCATCACCGGGCTAACTCATCCACCTACGCTGCTCCCCCGTAAAACCCTCAGTTTGTTTCTCAGAATCCATAGTCTCTCATGGTTTGTCTCTCGCTCCGATTCCCCCCCGCCTTCATTTTTCCCTTCCTTCGCCTAATGTCCTCCATGTTATTCCTTATGTTCCACAAACAAGTGAAACCATATGATAATTGACTTTCTCTGCTTGACTTATTTCACTTGGCATAATCTCTTCCAGTCCCATCCATGTTGATGTAAAAGTTGGGTATTCATCTTTTCTGAAGGCTGAGTAATATTCCATTGTATATATGGACCACATCTTCTTTATCCATTCATCTGTTGAAGGGCATCTCAGCTCTTTCCACGGTTTGGCTATTATGGACATTGCTGCTATGAACATTGGGGTGCATATGGCCCTTCTTTTCACTACATCTGTGTCTTCAATGCCATCCCGATCAAAATTCCAATGACATTTTTCAAAGTGTTGGAACAAACAATCCTAAAATTTGTATGGAATCAGAAAAGACCCCGAATCGCCAAGGAAATGTTGAAAAAGAAAAACAAAGCTGGGGGCATCACGTTGCCAGATTTCAGCTATATTACAAAGCAGTGACCACCAAGACAGCATGGTACTGGCACAAAAACAGACATATAGACCAATGGAATAGAATAGAGAGCCCAGAAATGGACCCTCAACTCTATGGTCAAATAATCTTCGACAAAGTAGGAAAAAATATGCAATGGAAAAAAGACAGTCTCTTCAATAAATGGTGCTGGGAAAATTGGACAGCTATATACAGAAGAATGAAACTCGACCATTCTCTAATACCATACACAAAGATAAACTCAAAATGGATGAAAGACCTCAATGTGAGACAGGAATCCATCAAAATCCTAGAGGAGAACATAGGCAGTAACCTCTTTGACATCGCCCACAGCAACTTCTTTCAAGATACATCTCCAAAGGCTAGTGAAACAAAAGCAAAAATAAACTTTTGGGACTTCATCAAGATAAAAAGCTTCTGCACAGCAAAGGACACAGTCAACAAAACAGGGAGGCAACCCACAGAATGGGAGAAGATATTTGCAAATGACACTACAGATAAAGGGCTGGTATCCAAGGTCTATAAAGAACTTTTCAAACTCAACACCCAAAAAACAAATAATCAAGTCAAAAAATGGGCAGAAGACATGAACAGACACTTCTCCAAAGAAGACATACAAATGGCTAACAGACACATGAAAAAATGTTCATCATCATTAGCCATCAGGGAAATTCAAATCAAAACCACATTGAGATACCACCTTACACCAGTTAGAATGGCAAAAATTGACAAGGCAAGAAACAACAAATGTTGGAGAGGCTGTGGAGAAAGGGGAACCCTCTTACACTGTTGGTGGGAATGCAAGTTGGTACAGCCACTCTGGAAAACAGTGTGGAGGTGCCTCAAAAAATTAAAAATAGAGCTACCCTATGACCCAGCAATTGCACTACTGGGTGTTTATCTGAATTTCTTAAAATATAAAGCTGAGGGGAAAATGGAGGCAAAATAATGACAGTCTCTAAAAAGCAATTTAATGAGGTAATATCAGTAATGAGTCTGGCACACAGTAGATGCTCAATAAAACACTATTGGGGGTTAATATTTACCTAAGATCAAATGACTAAACCTTTGCAAAGCATCATTTATTATTCATCCAACAAACATAACACTCAACAGCACTTTATATGTGCAAGGGCTGTCCTAGGAGCTGGGGACAGAGGGAAGAAAAAGACACATTCTCTTCTGATGGGGAGCTTAAAAGACAGTGGAGGAAGACGTAAGAACAGGTGACTACAACACAGATAAATGCCAGAGAGGAAAAGTGAGGCTTGGTAAAAGAGTGACTGATTGCTTCAGGTTAAGACCAAGTACTTGGTACCAGCTGTCGACTTCCTGGTTGCAGTGGTACAGTAGCCAACATGTTGCAACTGAATTTCTGGGTGTACCAACCATCCTCCAGACGGGCCAGCTTACCTAAGTACTGAGCTCCTGGCCATAGAATGTCCAGACCGACACTGGGATGAACTTCTGTCTGGGATGTGAGAATCGGAATTCTCAAGCTGGGAATGCCCTGCCCAGGCTCTAGTCACACTGGCCTTCCTTTGGTTTCTCCAGGTAACCCTGGTCCACCTTCCGCAGCTCCAACCAATCTACTTCCCCCGTCCCTCAGATCCCTTCCTCAGAAGCCTTTCCTGAACATTCCCAAGGCTCCTGCTGCACTCTGGGTTGCTTTTCTTCAGTGCTCTGCTTCAGCCATAAAGAATTCATTTTTGCAAAATTATCTGGTCCATGTCCAATGTCATCATTAGACTATAAACTCCAAGAGGACAGAAACTGCTTCTCTCACATTCACACTGGTCTCCCCAGTACCTGCATGGTGCCCTGCATGCATGGGGATGAAATAAACATTGCTGAATGAAGAGTCCAGGAAATCTCTGCGGCTTCTCAGAGAAGCGAATGGGAAGGGAACACACATTTTTTTAAATTGTCTAATAAGTGCCAGGCTCTGTGCCAGGTAGTCCACATCCATCATCTTATTGATTCCTCAGAGACACTCTGAGACGTGGGTATCACTAGCCCCATTTTACAAATGAAGAGATAAGGGACTGTATACATCTGGCTAACAGACCGGCAAATGCCAGCAGAGCCAGGATTCAAATCTAGTATGGTTATTTTCAAAGACACCCCCACGGCCCCCTTCATACTGCACCCCTGTCTTACGCTTTTCCAGGGATTTTGGCTGCATCAGTGGAAATTAGAAAGATCATGAAGGCGATCCTAACAACTATGCCTACATTGAGGAAAAATGCCTTTGCGTAAGCCACATTCACAGGCATTATCTTTTTCAGTCTTATAACTGGTCTAACAGTTGGTGAATGCCTAAGTGATTTCTGACATATGTTTTTTTTGTTTAAAAAAGTGGAATCGGAGCGCCTGGGTGGCTCAGTTGTTAGGTGTCTGCCTTCGGCTCAGGTCATGATCCCGGGGTCCTGGGATCGAGCCCCGCATTGGGCTCTCTGCTCAGCGGAAAGCCTGCTTCTCCCTCTCCCACTCCCCCTGCTTGTGTTCCCTCTCTCACTGTGTCTCTCTCTGTCAAATAAATAAATAAAATCTTTAAAAAAATAAAAAATAAAAAAAATAAAAAAGTAGGATCTTGTGTACTTTCTCCTTTTGTCTTTCAAACTCATTTGTGGTGGTTTGTTGTTGATTTTTGCCACATAGATGTTTTAAAGCATTTAGTAGTCAAATTTGTTAAACCTTTCTTTAAGATTTGTTTTATAAATCATAGAAGTAAAAATAAATAAATCATAGAACTAATTTACTCATGTTTTTCTTATAGTCTACTTATTTATTGATTTTACCTTTTTCTTAAAAGATTTTATTTATTTATTTGAGAGAGAGCGCACGCGAGCCAGGGGGAGGGGCAAAGGGAGAAGTAGAAGCAGGGAGCTAGACTTGGGGTTTGATCCCAGGACTCTGGGATCATGACTTGAGCTAAAGGCAGATGCTTAACCGAATGAGCCACCCAGGCACTCCAACTTTTTTTTTTTTTTTTGTACATTTAAGTGTTTGGTCCATTTGTGGTGAGGTAGGAATCCAGGTTTTTGTTTTGTTTTTTTTTCAAATGGCCTACTAATTATATCATCTCCATTGATTGACTAACCCAAAGGACTTACTTCTCTGATGGGTTCCCATCATTCCCACTGGTATTCAGACTAAAGACAACACTGGTGTCAGGGGAGCTCATAAGAAAGGCTGTATTTATTTCTGAAAGAAATCAGAAAATCCTGAGGACAGTCCCAGGTCCACACCTGACTCGCAGGATGGCCTTGGACAGGTCCTTTTCTCACTGGGCACCTCACTCTGAGTTTAAAGCTCTATGCTGGGGTGGGGGTGGGGGGCAAAGAGAGAGAGTGCAAAGTGATCTCTGGCACTGATAATTATTCATCTAAAAGAGTCCTAAAGAATTCTTGCCTTAAAAAGAAATGTAAATTAAAATAACACCAAGAAACCTTTTTTCCTTTTTTTTTTTTTTTTTTTTTTACATCTATCAGACAGGCAAATACTGAAAAGATTGATGTACTTACTCATTGTTGGCAAAGATGTAGGAAAATAAACTCTCCTAAGCTGGCTGCTAATGGGAGTGTAAATGGATTCCGCTTTTGGGAGGGCAATTTGGCCACATTTATCAAATGTAAAATGCACATATTCTTGAACCCAGCTATTCCACTTGGAGGAATTCTGAAAAGTAGAGAATGAGATGAAGATATTCACTGAAATGTTCATTATTGAAAAAAAAAAAACTGGAAACAACCCAAATGTCTATCAATCAAAAGTTGGATAAATGATAATATACTGTAGTAGTTAGGGGTGTTAAAAAGAAAACCGCACACCCAAAATAGAGTCAGCTATGCTAGGCCATGTCACCAAACTGGGGCTTAGTAGCTAACCTCACTGCAGTCTTGACCTCCCTCAGAGATAGTCTTAACTGGTCAGTCAGGAATCGTATGGTCAGCACCAGTAAGGTAATCTGTCACATGGGCCCTCTCCATCCCCCAAAACAAGATGAGGTAATCCACCTAATAAGACCCTTTTGTCCCCAAAGGAAGGTGACCTCACCCAAAATAATCCTTTCTTCTTTTTTTTTTTTTTTAAAGATTTTATTTATTTATTTGAGAGAGAGAGAGCACATGAGAGGGGGGAGGGTCGGGAGGGTCAGAGGGAGAAGCAGACTCCCTGCCGAGCAGGGAGCCCGATGTGGGACTCGATCCAGGGACTCCAGGATCATGACCTGAGCCGAAGGCAGTCGTTTAAGCAACCGAGCCACCCAGGCGCCCAATAATCCTTTCTTCTGTTTATGATTTCCTTGCCCTGCCTTTAATAACCTTTCCCTTTCTGTAGCCCTTTGGCGCTCCCTTTTACTTGCTAGATGGGAAGCTGCCCGATTCATGAACTGATTCATAAAGCTAATTCAATCTTTAAAATTTCCTTGGTTGAACTTTTGTTCTCTAACAGGGGTTTGAATTCTGGCTTCCCCACTTGCTAGTTGTGTGACATTGTGCAAATGACTTAACCTCTCTGTATCTGAGTTTTCGCATTAGTAAAAATGGAGTGACAGTAGAGTCTACCTCATAGTCTTGTGAGGGTTAAATGAGCTAATACTATAAAGTACTGACAACAGTGTCTGGCACATAGTGAGCACCCCCAAAATATGAGCAATTATAACCATAATATATGTTTGGGTGAAAATTTTGAAAATTTATGGAGTGTTGTTTCAGTGATATGTTGAGTGCTATCTTTGGGGGTTACCTGATTCTACAGGGGTCTGAGTCTTTCATTGTCTTTGACCAGACTATTTCACAACCCTGTAAGTTACAGAAAAGTGATGGTAATACAAATTATTCTTGCCCACAGAAATGCAAATTGATCTTGTCCTATAAATGTACAATTTAAGAGATAATTCCAAACACCACTTTATTGCCCTAAAGATAATAACCAACTTTGCATCTATTAGCAAATTTATATATAGATCTAGATCTAGATCTATCTGATTCTCCTTTGAACTGGTTTTAGCTTATGACTGTTTCTTTCATTAATTATTGAGTTACATACAATCTTTGACAAGTGCTCCTTTTATATTTGTATGAGTCACAATACAAATTTTAAAAATTTGTAACAGTAGGGCGCCTGGGTGGCTCAGTTGGTTAAGCGACTGCCTCGGCTCAGGTCATGATCCTGGAGTCCCTGGATCGAGTCCCGCATCGGGCTCCCTGCTCAGCAGAGAGCCTGCTTCTGCCTCTGACCCTCCCCCCTCTCATGTGCTCTCTCTCTCTCATTCTCTCTGTCTCAAATAAATAAATAAAATCTTTAAAAAAAATTTTTTTTAACAGTATTTCTAGTTTGATCCTCTCCTCATTATGAAGATACATGTCTTTATACTTTTAGAGAAAGCCTAGAAGGATGAAAACAAAAAATGTTTATGAAGAATATTTCAGGGAGGGGTCACCTGGCTGGCTCAGGAGGCGGAGCGTACAACTCTTGATCTCGGGGTTGTGAGTTTGAGCCCCATATTGGATGTACAGGTTACTTAAAAATAAAATCTTGAAAAAAAAAATGTCTCAGGCAGGGGTAGGTAAATAATATTTCAGTTGACTCTGAGTCTCTTCTTTATACATTTCTATACTGTCCAAACATTTTCATGCAGAACATCTGTTTTATGGCATGTTAAAAAAAATTCTCCTTTTTAAAAGACAAAACAGAAAATTCTCCTGCTGGAACCAGTCATTTGGGATGGGAGGAGAGTCATAAGAGGTCAAGTGTGAACAGCTTCCTCACTTGTAGGGCTTTGTGGTTGGTTATTTAGGTAAGGAAACCCCTTGGCAAGCGGGGAGGCCAGCTTAGTCTCCAGCAGACCTGTTTTTCCTGAGATAGGGCACTCAGGCCCAAAACAACCTGAAGTGGCAAAGTCTCAAAGTGTTCTCCATGGCCAGCCTGGGGGTGGTCAAGTATGAGGCTTGGACCTCACTGCTGGCTCTTTCAGCCTCTTTGATCTTGAGCTGATCAATTAATTCAGCCTCAAGCCACAGCCAACAGAAAATCAGCCCTGGAAGAGACTCTGGTCCCTTCTTACTACTGATGGGAAAACAAGCCTGGGGAGGGGAGGGAAACAGCAGAGGTCACAGAGCAAATTACGGATCATTCTAGCACTAGAATCCCAGAATCCAAAGTCCTGGCCCAATGAGCTTCTACCTCACCAGATTGGACTGATGGTGAAGGGCCTCCAATGCCAAGCCAAGAAGACTCGCCCATGAAAAGTGGGCATGTTGAACAGAACAAGCCAGCTCCAAGATCAAGCAAGGGCTGGGCTTTAGGAAGAATCTTCATTCAGAACTCGGGCATTAGCATACCCCTCCCCATCTGGGGGCTGGGCCAGGCAAGGGAGGCTACTCTTGTGACCTAAGACTTTACAGACCTTTAATAAATTGTCATTGCAAAGCTGCCTGCCATTTTAATTGCACTTGAGGGGTGCAATTTTTTTGTTTGAGGAAAAACAGTGTTAGGAGACTTTTGTTATATGAAGAGAGATGGAGATCCCCCTTGAAATGGAGCCCTTTAGGATAATAAGGCAGCATAAAGGAAGGGCTGAGCTCCTGGTAGGTCTGGAGTACTGTGATGTCAACTGGCTTTTCTTGGGGCTGGAGCTGGACTGGGGCGAGGGGCATCTCCTCATGGTCCCTGCCAGGAACTGGGGAGAGGCGCCATCCCCCTCCCCCGGGACCCAGGAGGCCAGGACAGGCAGTGGATTCTGGCATCCAGTCTTAAGTTCCTCATTATTATGTGCAGTGTTCCTTAGCCTTGAGGCCCCAAATTGCACAATTTTGCCGTTTCAATGAGCTACCTACACTACTATTTACTTAATATTTTTCTGTAAGTCTATTCACTTTTTAAAAAAAAAGATTTTATTTATTTATTTGACAGAGACACAGCGAGAGAGGGAACGCAAGCAGGGGAGTGGGAGAGGGAGAAGCAGGCTTCCCACTGAGTAGGGAGCCCATGTGGGGCTCGATCCCAGGACTCTGGGATCATGACCTGAGCCGAAGGTAGGTGCTTAATGACTGAGCCACCCAGGTGCCCCAGTCTATTCACTTTTAATAACAAGGACATTTATATGGCAACGTAGATGGGAAATCAACATCATTTCCATAAAAATAAATACAAGGAAAACAGAACAGTGTGATTAAATTTTAGCTAGATACTGTCGCCTGCTTTCTCTTCGTTAAAAAGGGAGTTTGGCACATGTTAGAGAAGTTTTACAAGGAAATCAGATACTATGAGAGGCTTTCCTGAATTTAATCAGAAGGAATGGAAGATAATGGAAAATAGAGTAACTGCCTTACAATGTGGTTATTACTTTTTTTCAAAGATTTACTTATTTATTTGAGAGAGAGAGAAAGAGAGAGACAGAGCACGGCGGAGAGGGGCAGAGAGAGAGGGAGAGAGAATCTCCTGCAGAGTCCCCCCTGAGCACAGAGCTCAATGTGGGGCTCAATGCCACCACCCTGAGATCATGTGTGGTTCAATTCCTTAATGCCTTTGTGTAAAACAGCTTCAGTGAGGTGTGGTTCCTCCACTATACTAGCCATACTTTAGAAAATGCTGTGGACAGGACCCTGCTCTCCCACCAACTAGCTGAGTGACTTTGGGAAAGCTCCTCTACCTCTCTGAACCCCCAATTCCTCACCTGCAAAAGGGCTATGTAGGCAGAAATGAATCCAGAGGCTTCTCTGAGAGATAATAATGGTGATAATGATGAGGATGATAATGATGCTATCAGGGAGGCATTGGTAGAATTCCTTAAGCTAGTGTTCGGTGTGCTTTGGGGAAATGAATTACTAGTCTGGGTCTTTGCTTAAGCAAAGAAAAGCAGAGAGAAGAGTGCAGGCAGAGCAGCAGAAAAGCCACTGGGTCCGCAGAAATGAGCTACCCACCAGGATGGGTTTGTGCAAAATGGAAGTGCTCCCTGGATTCTCAGAAATGTCAAGGAAGTGAAACTGAATAAGGATATTGGACTTCTGGTGGTCATGGGGGATGGATGTTCAGACAGTACTGGTTGAGTACTAAAGTGAAGGGTAACTGCTAAATGCCAAACAATGAGGAGCTGAGTATTATGATTACTGTCCTCCACTTTACATACAAGGAAAATGAGACTCTATAATACTAGGCGGCTGCCAGAAAATTCACAGCAGACCTACGCCCCATGCCTTCATTCTTTTCAGTATTTCAACAAATGTTCTCAACATGCTTAAGCCCTGGGTCAGGGCAGCGCTGGGATACACACATTAAAAAATAAGAAGAAGATGAGGATTTGTAAAACAAAGTGGACAACATGATCTTACTTATGTAAAAGAAAATACAGTGAAGCTATATCTTCATGTATGTGCACCCACATATACAAAGGCTTAGAAACAGATCTGTAGGGACACCTGGGTGGCTCAGTCGATTGAACATCTGCCTTTGGCTTGGGTCATGATCTGGGGGTCCTGGGATCAGGTCCGGGGATCGAGTTTCGCATTGGGCTCCTTGCTCAATGGGAAGTCTGCTTCTCCCTCTGCCTGTCTCTCTCTGTCTCTGACTAATAAATAAAATCTTTGGGAAAAAAAAAAGAAATAGATCTGGTAGCAGTGGGCACTGGGTGGAGTCAGGTACGGAAACAGGGACTTTAGCTTTACCTGTATTGTTTG